TACAATGTTCGAAAATGGAGTAACAAGCTGCAATTGTAGAGAAACAAAGAAGCTAAAAATAAAGAAGCTAAAACAAAGAGAAAAACGAGCAAGTTCATCTCTCTTTTTTCTAGAGGATTGATGACAGATGATGTTCATCACTACCATCCTCGAATTTTCCCCCATTTCAATCATACACATTCTTATTTCGTTGTCCAATTAAATAGAAAGGGGTTTGAATTTGGGAATTGAATTGAAATTTTAGAGATTTTAGGTTACAATCAATTTAGTTTTTTTATTTAAATTTTAGGTTTTTATGTTTGAGTTGAAATTAAGGTTAGGGGATTGAAATTAGGTCTAATTGAGGTTAATTGAAGTTTTAATTCGGGGTTTAAACCCGAATTGAAACTAAATTAGGCTAGAACAAATCTAGGGTTCCTAGATTCTGAAATTAACAAAAAATTAGGAGTTTTTAAAGAAAAGGACTTTAAGAGGTTTGATATCACTTAATCTCAAGAGAAATTAGGCCAATTAAGGTTAATTGAGCAAAAATTGAGAAAAATTAAAGTTTAGGGTTTAGCCACTTTTCATGAAATTTTCAAACAAAAGAAAGGAAATTGGGTTTTGATTCTAGTGGAGAATCAATAGAGACAAAGGGAAGAAGATTTTGTAAAAGAGGATTGAAAGAAAAACTAGCCAAAGAAGAAACTCTTTAGCTTGTTTTGAGAGAAAGAAATCAAAACAGAGGAGAGACAAGGAGGAAGAGAGCGATGGAAAATTCAAGAGAGAAAAGAGAAGAAAAGAAAAAGGAAGGAAAAAGGAGGAGAAGAAAAGAAGTGGAGGGATGAACCGAAGCTTTTGGTTCATCCATGGAGTCTAGATAGAGAGGGAGAATAGAAAAAAATAGAGTGAAATCGAGAGAAAATGAAAGAGAAAAGAGAGAAAGAGGGAGTTTGGTCCATAATAATTTTGGGAAAGTTTTGTTTTGGGTTTCTCAGCCTTAAAGGCTAGTTGAAAGAGATGGATTGGGCCAAGTCCAACCCATGTAAAGTTGGATTGGGTCGTTTCTAGCCCAGTCTAGCCTCGAGGAAAAAAGAAAGAAGAGAAAATTGGTTGGTCCAGACAGAAAAAAAAAAAAGAAAGAAGAAAGAAGAAAGAAAATGGGGCTGGACTTATGCTAGTCCAGCTCGAATAAAAAAAAAAAACCTTAGTTTCATTTCATTTAATCTTGAATTTATTTTATATATTTTATTTTATGTTTAATTGCTATTTCGGTGTTTGAATTTCCATTACTCGTATTTAGTTAATGTAATTGTGGATTTTTATTTGTTTAATAATTAGATTAAGTAATCAATAGGTGGATAATTGTTACGTCTCTTATTTTTTAGAAACTGATGACGATTCTCAATCTACCAAAAAAAAAGTTAATTTTAATTTTAGAATTTTATTTCAATAATTAGCTTAGTAGTTAATGGGTGAGCGAATTGTCGAGTCTTCTAATTCTTAGGGATTGATGATTATTTCTTATCAAAATGTCAATAATTAGATTAATAGTTAATAGGTGTATGAATTATCGAGTCTTTTAATTTTTAGGGACCGATGATAGTTCCTCATTGACAAAATTAATTAAAATTTCAACGGAGTCTTCTATATGATAGGGATTATCGTTAATAAAATAATAATAATAAAATAAAAATATCTCATCAACATTCAAACAATCAAGATGTTATCCGACACACTTGGTTGTATCGAGGCTTGAAGTGGATCCAATGTTTGAACCGATGTGTTAATCTACGAAGGGGACCGATGATCGTTCAATATGATGCCATGTTAAAAAATAAAAAACTTAGTTTTGAAACAAAGGACTTGAAATTTGGACAAAGATTAATTTTTAGTAAAAATAGATCTCTTTTAGGAGATAAATTTTAAGACTAAATCGGACGTAGTACTTTTCTTAGAAAAAGTTGTTTTTAAGTGATCGATATCTTTCCAAAAACGTAACCAACTCCTTATCTTAGAATTTTGGAACTAATGCCTATTTTAGGTTCTAAGTTTTTTCAACACTAAATGACGATTCTAAATTCAATAATAACTTACATATCTAGAGTAACTCATAAATGTGATGCAAAATCTAGACCTAAAATTTTTTCTCAAGTCCCGTATGATATCGTGTTGCAACAATTTAAATGAATTTTTTTTTAGGATATACAACTACTCGACCAAGCCTACATATATACGTTAAATATATGAAAGAAATATATTTTCTTTTGGCATTTTAAATTCAAATCCTAAATAATAACATGAGAGCAAGACTGACGCCACAAGAAAATCACCCCTAACCATGCCACCTATATGTTATTTCAGTTAGTTCTGTGCATTAAATGAATCAAATGCGTTAGCCCAGCCATGGATAGCAGGTAATTTGCCCGCGAAATTCAGTCAGACAAGCCATCTAATTATTTTTCTTTTTCCTCTTCACGTATCCATTTCTTTTATATATATATATATATATATATATATATATATGAATCAGTTTTCGCATTGCGATTAAATTTATAATTTTTCGAATTAAATTAAAGTCAGAACACGCATATTTTAAATTAAACAACATTATTTTAGATAACTTGACTTCAATATCTCAAAATTGTCTTAAAAAACATTTAAGATTTTATTTAAAATCCGAACATCAACCTGATCAACTAATATATCTATTCACTCATCTCTATAGCATTTTTTTCTTCTCTGAATAAATTGTTGAACCTTTTTTGTTTTCTATATCTGTCACATAAGTATCGTGATGGAGAGAGAGTAAGTGTGAAATCTCAGGTAATAGAGCGGTGATATATTAGATACTTGAAAGATGTTAACACAATCATTAACCGAATTAATTTGAGGATGGAAAGTCGAATTTTTTAAAAGATAGGCTGTAAAGTGAAATATCCTGCAAAATACAGGATGACTCTGAAATTTACTCAAAACAATACTGTTTAATTGAGCCAATTAAAAGTAGGGAGATTGCTGCTTTCTTTCTATCTTTTTTTTTCTTTATATATATATATATATATATAGGGCTCTGTCCCCGCTCCCGTCCGGTTGAATGAAAATCAATCTGGGACGGCAAGCTGGGACTGTTATCCAACTTGCTGGTACACGTGACTTATTGGGACAACAAGCTGACTGCCTCACAAAAGTTTTGGCTAGACAATGTTTTTAATTTCTTGGTAACAAGTTAACTGTTTAATGCTTTCCTAGTTAACTTCAGGAAAGATGATAAGATAATACAGTCTGGAGATATAATAGGATAAGACTCTAACTGTCAAATATCCTATAGATAAGATAGGATTCCTTTTTCAAACACTTGAATTATAACTGTATCATCCTCTGTAACTTATTTATAGATTGATATGCATAAACTACGATGTGTGAAATTCATCTGAACATAAAATTCTACAACTTCAACCAAGCCAAAAGACTTCAAAATACAAGAAACTAAAAAACTGTCTTTCGAATTTTATTGAGAATCTGTTTTGTCATTATTTTCACCTCGTCTCCAAAAAGGGATATTTGTTTTTTGTTCACGATATTTTTTTTTCATTTTATATTCAATTGTATTTTTATTAAATTGAATATTTCGAAAAAAATTCATATTTTTTTATTTGTAACATGTGATATATAATATCATATCGAAGTAATCGTCCCAAAAAAAAAAAAACCTCAAGTGATTTTTGTTATGTGCATCCAAATGCGTATTATTCAAAGCATTGAAATATGTATTATTTAAAAAATAATTATTTTACAATTATTAAACTAATTTTTGTGGATATATATGAACAACATAAAAAAAGAAAAAGGAAAGAACACAAAATGAAACTTGCTGATGATTTTTTTTTCATGGATCATTGGGAAACAATATAAAAAATACTAATGTGAAACTAGTTTTTTTTTTAATTTATTTATTGAGAGGGACAGCGGGTCTTGAGCCAGTTAATAGAAGATAGGCGACCTTTCTTATGCTACAGTAACAAAAGAAATTGAAGTGAATTATAAATTAGTTGCTCCAGTTTTGAAAAAGAAATCAGTTAGTTCTTTATGTTTTAAAAATTAATTATTTAGTTATTTTTGTCTATTTTATATTATTTTCATTTAATTTATTTTTTATTCTAAATATAGAAAAAAATATATATTATGAAAAAAATTGATGAGAAAAAAAATATTTTTTGTAATAAAATAATATTAAATTAATTGTAACCAACATTGATAAAAAATAATAATTATATTTTTAAACAAGAAAGACTAAGTAATTCACTTCTCAAAACTAAATGACTAATTTATAATTTACTCAAAGAAATTACGGTCCCTAACCTAGTTTCAATGTAAGAAATTATAAGATATATAACAACTCGACTAAGCCTACATATATAAGTTCAATATGATTTGAAAAAGAAATCATTTAAGATGGAAATTTTTGATTTAATATTTGAGAAATGATTTAATATTTTTTTTCCTATTTACAAATTTAGAAAATGGTTATTTATGTACCAACTGTAGTAAGTTTAACGGGCATGCTACTTCCACATTTAAAATTACTTAAATGTCCAACTCTATCAATTAAGCTCAATATTTTTAACATTTAAAGACTTTTTGTAAATAAAAAAGTAAAAATACGTGAAACTATTGTAATAGAAAAATTTCTGTCCTTTTTTAAAAATATTGCTAGGCTCATCTGAAAAAAAAAAAAATACACTTCTTCCCTCTCCTCCATTGTTCTCTCTCATATTGGGTCTATTTGGCTCTGTTTTGTTTGTAGGGAAAAATACCTTTTTAACTAATAATAAGAGAAGGTAGAGAAATTATGTCTCTTTTTGATAATCAATTTTTATCTTCTTTTCCCAAATAAAATGATTTTTTTTTTTAATTCATGGCCGTTATAGGTAAAAATACCATTTATTGCAAAATGAAGGGTTATTCCAATTTCCATCCCTTGGGCTCCTACGGTCCTCTACCTAAAACGCAACTTGGTGTTAGTCCAGCTCGACAAATGAGGCAGGTTTCACATTTAGCTGCGAATTCCATTTATTACGGTTACGTCATTATATGGGTATTTTTTTTAGTAAATAACTCAATGTGTATTTATGCAAAAGCTTTAATATCAAATATGTCTTTTTACTTTTAATATCATCAATTATATTTTTAAATAATATTTAAATATTTAATTTATTTTTTTGATTATGAATAAATTTTTTATTTGAAATACCCTTGAGTGAAATGAAAAAAAAAAAAAACTCAAGACTTTATAAACAAAACATACAAATCAGTTGATTTAAATGATTTTTTATTTATTTCAATTAGAAATATTTTGATTAAAAATTTTGTTTATCATAAAAAAAATTGATAAAAAATTTAAATATTATTAAAAAAACATTGAGACAAATTAAAAATTTAAGCCATATAAAGATATATTAAACTATTTACTTTTTTTTCCCCAACCCTAACTTATAGGATGAGATGAAACATCAATATGCTGGTTGGCACCACTCAATTGTGCAGGCATGTTAATGAAATATATATGTGTGTGTGGGGAGAGGGAGGGGGGGGGTGGGGAGAGGTGGAGAGTAGGGGTGGGATGATGTGAGAGTTATTTTTTACATCATCATATTTTGTCAATCAAAAGAGAAGTAAGATCGACTCCAGGTGAAGAAGCAGCAACGCAAAACAATCTAGCAACTGTTGCGCAAGGCTTCGACTGATCCACAGAATCGATCACTAACCTTCAACGCAGGCCCATTTCAATAGGCTTTAGTATTTTTCCTTTTTCTTTTCTTATATATATATATATATATGTGATTTGTTGCTTTTAAATGATAAGGATTCATAAAACTCGGTGAAAATCCAAGATTTTCAGTACATTGTTTCTTTATGATATATCAAAAACATTAATTAAAAAGAAATCAATTAAATAATTTATTATAAGTATATCATCGGCTATAGATTGTTTACTTAAGATGGATGGAGAAGGGGCTTGGTCTTTATAATTAGCCTAAAGATAACCTTAGGTCATTTTTTTTTAAATGAAAATCAAACCAAATGTTTGACTAAAAAAAAAAAAGGGTAAAGCAAGCCTAAAATAGATAACTCAAGAAAGAGAAATGATTAGGTGTACGTTCTGCTAGCTACATTATATATATATATATATATATTATAACAATTATATTTCCCAACATTTTTCAATTAAAATACAAAGCTCAATACTACATTAACAAGACGAGACAGCTGGAGTGCTGATCTTTTACATTGAAATTTAACTCGGCAACATACCCCAGTTTTTATTTAAAGCATACCATACAGTACTATAGTACTCCACACACTTACGAAATATTCATACAATCGAGTTTCACTGGATAATAATTATCCTAGTGATTATTTATTTTTCTTATAAATAATATATAGTCCCATATACATTGGCCATGCAAATACTGTCTCATCCATCAAACCATCCTTAATCGCTTGAAATACAACGGTTTTTGAAGTATTGGATCAGCCGGTTTGTTCTGAAGGAAATTTTCAAACCACAGTCCTGAGAGCTTCGTAAGTCTTTCGAAATTAGATGAACGGTTTATGGAGATCAAACCGAATCCTATGGTATATCCGTCTGTAAATTCGAAGTTGTCGGCATAAGACCAAGCAAAATAACCTTTGACTTGAACATCATGATTGCTGCCAAAATTAGTTCAAAGGTTAACAGTATTATTCTAATAAATATATGATTAATTTAAACAATTATTTAAAGCCTAACGTTTTCGGTCAATAGCAGATTTTAAGTGCATGCATGCTTTACTCTAATTAGAGACAAGGAAGCAAGAACAAGAAATTACTGGAAAATAAAATGGCAATGGGTAAACTCATTACTCACTTGATAGATGCTAGCACATTCCTAAGATGGTTACAATGATATTGTACCCTATCAACATCCAAGAAGGGTACATCTGTCGGCATGGCTTCACCGTAGCCTGAATAGACGATAAATATGGAATAAAGAATTAATGAATTTGACCATTAAGACTATGACTAGATTCAATTATAATGTGAAAAGTTTTTTTTTTTTTTTTTTAATACCATTCTCAGTGATGTAAATTATTGGATTCATGTATGTATCTTTGACGTGATTCAAAAGTTTCTGTATCCCCTCTGGATAGATATATTGCCATGGTGCACCAGCCTGCAATTTATGATAAAATTATTTGTTAGTTTCATTTCTCTAAAAATATATTTTGTGAATTGTTGTATTATTTGCAGCAAACCTTTGGACCGATGGGGATGTTGTCTCGTTCTCCTGAAAAGTATTAAAAACAATTGTGTAAAATTTGATAACCTCACTTGAAATATCATTTTTTAAGTAAAATGTAATCCAAAATAATAATAATAATAATAATAATAATAATAATAAGATTTACTACCCTAGTCAAGACTTCTCCTACTTCGAGACCTTAAAACAAAAATTTTGCTTTATACGTTTTCCACAATAAAAATGAGGATCTAATCCGACGAATCTATTTTGTCACTTCAGCCTTAAAAATTGTCACATTAGCCAATCTAACAAAAAAATTATCGTTTGTCAGCTACTTGGCAGCATAGAATCAATTATTTCCTCTGTTTCTTTTCTTCGTTCTCTTTTATTTTGAAAGTATTATATATTATCATTACATTTCATGAGTTTACCTGTAACATATATGGCAATTAGAATCTGTTCCATATCTTCGATGATCTGGATCGGAAGAGTTTACATTTGCTGCATAATATGCAGTGTAGTAATTTAATCCAACAAAGTCCAATGATCCTTTTAGAACCATAGAATCCAGTGGAGAGAATTTTGGTAATCTATCTTGAACCAATTCACGCATAATGCTCGGATAGTCACCATATGTTATAGGATTCAAGAACCTAGAAACATGTAAAAATTCAACATACACTTAATTATATATATAGAAGTAATTTAAGAAAATACATACCAACCAAGCATGAAATCAAGAGATCTTTTGGCCGCATCGTGATCTTCCGCACTATTAGAGTAAGGTTCATACCAACGGGCATTGAGTGTTATCCCAATCTTGCCATTCTGAGATGCCTAAGTTGTCAATAGAGAAAAAGATTCATTGATCTCATATTCATAAAAATATATCATTATAATATTCTACACAATCCATTATATTCATTAATAGTAAATTATTCTACGATCCCATTTGACTGTAACTGGACAATGTGTAAAAAGTAATAATTTTTCATAGAAAACTAACACCAAGATTAATAGTTTACAATCAGATAATGAAGTATAGGATTCAATATTTAGCTTTTTGACTCTGTATAACATACAAGAATATTTGTATATTTGATATATTTAGTGTTTTCGAATTTTGTGTTTTTATATTTCTAAGCTAGTTTTTAACTCTTTTTAGGCTCTTAATTGTTAAATTAAATAAAATTCCATTGCGTTATTATATATCTCAGCAGAATTTTACAAAGTTTATGCTATGAGTTTTTTTTTTTTTTTTTCAGCCTATAAATTGGCTTGTAATGGGGAAAACCGGACGGTCTCCATATTTTATCAATCAATTATACTATTTGAGACTTCTTCTTTTTGGTAGTTTTTGATAGATTCCACATCAATGTTCTAAAGGCTTAATCGTGTGTTGATCTTCCTAACCTATTTCTGTCATGCGTTAGGTGATATTAGAGCCTGATTAAATAATTATTTTTGCTAAGAACACGTGAATTAAATAACAGTTTACTCTATCCATTAAATGTGTGTATTTAGTGGATACCTGATAGTTTTCCCTGTATAATTGAACTACTGCTGCATGAGAAAGGAGGAGATTATGGGCAACTATGTATGGCTCAGTAGCAGAATTTCCATTTTTGCAGTACTTTTCATCGACCCATTTAGAGCATCGGCCTGGTGCAAAGTGACCTGAATCATAGCCATCGTTAGTGTACTTGTGTGGCTCGTTCAAAGTAATCCAATGCTTTACTCGGTCACCAAATTCCTGGAAGCAAAGCTCTGCAAAATCTCTGAAATCGCTCCTATAAATTAGAAGAAAAAGAAATTCTCTGTCAGAATTTCATTGTCAACCGTTTGAGAATCAATAAATAAGTTTGATATATACATCTGATGATGGAACACGATATGTTATGACAAGGTGGTTACTTACACAATATTATGATCACTTAGAAAGCTACCATATTTGTCTTCAAGTGCTTGAGGAGTATCCCAATGAAAGATAGTTACAAAAGGCTGTAAACCTGTTTATTATAGCATAAAATATGAGAGGGTTTAGATAATAACTTTTCAAATCAAATTCACACGGATCAAAATCAAGAAGTTCTGAAAAAAAAAAAAAAAATCCTAGCTATTAGCCATGGAAGTAATTTTTTGATCCAAATTTCTGAACAAATTATTTTGAATATTCCAGAAGCTAACATTTCTGACAACAAAAATTTTAATATTTCTAAGCACCGGGAGAAAAATTAACCATTTGCGATGGTTGCGTTGATGAGCTTGTTGTAAAACTCAATTCCATCTTTGTTCACTCCTTCCCTTACTCTCCCACCTGAATATCATAAGAGTAAAAAAAATTATCAACAAATAAATGAATACACACCCATTCACTATTCTCATTTATCAAGAATACGTACTGGGAATTACTCTAGACCAGGAGATAGAGAATCTAAAAGCATCCATATTCATATCCCTTATTGCTTGAAGATCACTCTGTCACACAGTAGGCACATTCGCATTCAGTATTAGAAGTATAAATATGTACATATATAAGTTGTTACAAGGAATAAAAATGTTGAAAGTAAATTAATTTTAGATCTATTAGATTTTAATAAAGTTAAGTTTTTATTCTGTTTCTAAAACCAACAGTACTTAGTCTATTTTCTAATATCTTAAAACTAAATGAATATCATTACGTTCTGCATCACTTTTGTGAATTATTTAAATTGATTTTTGACTTTTGATAGAAAATAAAAGTCCTAAGAATACTTAAAAAAAAAAAAAACCTTTGACTTAAACTAGAAATAATAAAATTTTTTAATCTGAGTCAAAAAAACCTTTTTGCTTTCATAAAGTATTTAAATTATTTAATAATATCATTTCTATTCTAGGAAAAAAATTATGTTTAGGAAAACATGTCTTTAATCTAATTATTTTTATCATTGCTTATTTAGAAAAAATAAATTTAGATAATCAAATTAAATAAAAGTCAGTTTTCGTAAGTACTAATGCTAAAGGCAACCTAAATTCCATGATCATCAAATTGATACCTCGTAGCGATTGTAGAAATCAATTCCCATGTCTCCAGTGTTGCCATCAGCTATCCTTTCTGAATGTTTTATAAAAAAAAAATTGATTGACGCAACTGTTGTCCAATAGTCATTCATAATTTATGCAAAGTATATACATGAACTTTTATTGTGTAGTGGTTTCCATGCCATCAATCTTTTATTTATTATTTATTTAATGTTTTAGATGGGTATTTACCTCGATTATTTCTTATTATTTCTCATGGCCCAAGTGATCCGTTCCATGTTTTTAAATCCTTTTAATCTATGAACCAATGATCAAGAAACATATATGAATATGATATGAATGGTGCCATATGTCAATTCTTAAATATGTAGGACATGTTGCATGGATGATATATTAATTTTGTAAAAAATTTATGTTGACAATAAATCAAACATAGCACCTAAAATCTATACATGGAATAATAATATATGTATGCTCCACTGCAAACGAAAGAATATGTAAAGCAATATACAAAAAATAAGCATCATGTTATCTCCATTTGCTTTACAATTATAAATTTAATTTGGAGATCTCGAAGTTAAGTTATCTTCATTATTATTATGATTATGAGAGGATCAATGATAATCTTATTTTTCCTCTTTTAAATTTAATTTTTGTGGTTTATCTCTCTTTTAATCTAGTGTTTTATAATAAGATAAATATATTTTAGTCTAGATAAAGGTTCTATAATAAGATGAAGTATTTTGACCACATCCCAGGTACTAAGTCATATCCCCAAGTTTCCTTTTAATTTATATCTTCTTACATTAAAAAAATTTTGATCTCATTCATCGAAAAAAAAAATAATTGACATCCCATGTATGGTGTCTTTCTTGCATATTCTTTCAAATAAATTAACATATCCATACATAATTGAATATATATATATATATATATCAAAAAATCATCTCATATAATATAATTTATATTATTCTCTAATATAATATTTCAAATGAATGTTATGATACGATTTATATTACTTTCTATATATTTTCAAATGAATCTTACGATGCGAAAGCTTTTAAAAAGGATTTATACAAGCCCTTACATCCCACTAAATAGGAAGTGAAAACCCTTAAAAACCTACTTATTTTTCAAGTAAAAGCCATTGAAACTTGTTTGTACTTACATTCATTATCTTATGCTATTGCATTTTTAATGAGAAGAATAATAATATTCAAACTCGTGATCTTTTAGCTATATCTTAAATAAATGCCTTTGAAACTTGCTCGTACAAATCTTTACTACCTTATACTATTGTACTTTTAATTAGAAAGAAAGACCTTAAAACTTACGTGTACCATCCCTCGTTATTTTATGCTATGAAACTTATTTATATAGGCTCTCGCTACTTTATATTATTATATTTTTAATTAGAAAAAAAGCTTTTAAAATTTGATTGTACAAAACCTTACTATCTTATACTATTGTACTTTTAATTAGAAGAAAGAATGAGAATTGTGATCATTCGTTCGTTAATATTATAATATCATGTTAAATAATTATTTAAATTTAAAAATTTAAACTTTGAGGTGAAATCCAAAAAATAATTTATATTAGTCTCCATCGATATTTATTCCCCATCACTCCAATATGTAGTGGGCCATAATGGGTGTGTATTCTTATCTGATTTCAAGTATAATACAAGTCATCTTGAAATATTCTTACTTATTTATTTATTTATTTATTGGGAGGTCTAAGAGACCTTGGGTTACAAGATGAGAAATCCCTCTTCTATTTTATAATTATAATTGAGTAAGCTGGAGTCAATCTTACTCCATTAAAGAAATCTATCTACAACAAACCTGCCACTGCATATTTTTTAGCTTTTAAACCATTTAATTTTTTCCCTTCCATATATATATATATATATATATATATATATATATATATATATATATATATATATATTCCTTTTGTGCCAACAAGAAACAATAGGGAAGGCCAACCTTCAAAGTTGAACGTAATTTGCAAACATGTTTTCTCTCCAATATACCCAAATCAAAGAGTAAAGAAAAATAAGATTATAGAAAACTATAGGGTTAGAATTTGCAAGTTGGCTTATTCATTTTTTTTAAGTATCGGTAAATTTCTTCTGTAAGATTTCTTCTTCTTCTTCTCCTTCTTTTTTTTTGTTTTTTTTGTTTTTTTTTTTGTTTTTGTTTTTGTTTTTTATCAACGACTTAAGTTGATAATATGAATCCTCAGACTTTTTCACTTTTTTGTAATCTTATGATTTTTTAATTTGAAAAATAGAGTGCAATAACTACTAATGCTCTAACAAACATCTTTTGCACATGAAAATAGACGAAATTAATATAATTTCAAGAATTAATTATCCAAGTGAACCAAAGAAAATTACAAAATACTTAAGAAATTAGAAGAGACAAGTTTTTATAGAATTTTTTTAAAAAAAATAAATCATCCATTCATGGGATAAAAAATGTTGTGCATGGATAAAAATTATTAATAAATATTAAAGTTTGAGGTAAGAGAATAAAAATTTAATCCATCTTAAAAAAAAAAAAAAAAAAAGTAGGGGATTAAGATTCAATTAAAAAATCGAAGGACCTCTCCTTAGCAACTTACCTGATGGAAAGAGGCAAAAGCCAATGTGAGAAAACACAAGTAATTGAAGTACTAAAATTTGAAAATTGATCACTGAAATTTAAATTAATGAACAAGAATCAGACCATATGCTAGTGTTTTTTTTTTCCTCCTTCCTTCTTTGTAATAACAACGCACGCAAGCACACAGAAAATGAGAGAGAAATATACCTGGGAAGTCTCGAGTAAAAGTGTCCCATATACTCGGACCTCTGCAACTTACGTTTGCATGACCTTCGGCCTTGATACCATATTAAAGATTTGCGTAATCAGAAGATTACTCTCATAATAATGCATATATATATATATATATATATATATATATATATATATATAGCTGTAAAGGTTCAATCTAGCTACCTGGTAAGAGGATGAGGCTGTTCCAAATATGAAATCCTTTGGAAAGGATCTACGAGTTAAAGACTTGGATTCAATAACATCAGTGTAACAATGAAGATCATATTCCTTAAAAATATGGTTTGGCATCGCTAGCTTAGCAGAAGCAAACGAGATTATTAGGAAGAGCATTCCTAATAAAAGCAACACAAGATTAACAGCCATCTAGCTAGTTAGCAATGCGTGTATGGGGTGAGGGATTTGTGGTTTCACTTCTCATGCTAACCCTCCCTTTATATAGAGGCTTGAAGAGAAAACAAAGGAAAGCAATGCATGCATTCTTCGCTCATCGTGGTCCTAACACTGCTCTTCAAGTCATCGGTTTCCACCTAAGCACAGGTTTATATGTACCAGGTCGCTTACAATGAAGAAGCCAGAAGAAATTTTGATTAAAGAAAAACCTAATTCCTATAGGGCGGGACCATTTCTGATAGACTCATAGAACCTCCCAACAACAATAATAATAGAGTGAAGATTATGGGGAGATGGTTCAGGTTATGGCCTTCCAATCAATAAGAGTGAAATTTTAGGTTTAAATTGTTTTTGCCAGTGTTTAGTGCATACAATAAATCTACCTTTCAGAACTTCTCCAGTCAATACTTCCAAGTTGAGTGATTTTGTGACATGGTTTGAAAACATTTTTAACCAGCTGCTATCACAAGTGCTGGTTAATTTCAACCACAAAAATGAAGCATGGCAGACTTCATATAAGCTAAAAGACTTAAATAGATTCTCTTTTGTTATTATTTTCACCTCTTCTCCGATAAGGGATATTTTGTTTTTGTTCACGATAATTTTAATTTTTCATTTTATATTCGAGTGTATTTTTATTAAATAGAATATTTCGAAAAAAGTTCATATTTTTATTTGTAACATATGATATATAATATCATAAAGAAGTACTCGATCTTAAAAAAAAAAAAAAAAAAAATCAAGTGATTTTGTCATGTGCATGTATTATTCAAAGTATTGAATTATGTATTATTTAAAAAATAATTATTTTACAATTATTAAACTAATTTTTGCGGAATATATATATATAATCAATGTCTTAAACAACATTAAAAAAGAGCACAATATGAAAGTTGCTTATGATTTATTTATTTATTTTTTCCTTGGATTATTGAGAAACAACATAATAATAATAATAATAATGTGAAACTAGATTTTTTTTTTTTTTTGGTTCATTGAGAGGGATGACAACGGGTCTTTAACAACTTAATAAAAGATAGAGCTCCTTTATTATATTATAGTAACAAAAGAAATTGGTGTAGATTATCAATTAGTCGCTCTAGTTTTGGAAAACAAATCAATCAATCCTTTATGTTTTAAAAACTAATTATTTAATCATTTTTATCTATTTTATTTTCTTTTTTCTTTTTTTATTTTAAACATTAAAAAAAAAAAAAGATATTATGAAAAGATTGATAAGAAAAGAAGACATTTTTTAATAGATAAAGTAATATTAAATTAAAGGCTTAATGTTTCGGAAAATCATGAACTATATATGTTTTAATGGATTTAGCTCGTTTCTTAAAACTTATATAGAAAGGTCACCAACTAAGTCTTCGATAATAATATTAGCATCGATTTGATTTTTAAACCAGAATTCTAGGTAACGCCGACATAACAATTGACGAAGCATGATAGCTAGGCTTAATGTGCCACGTAGGATCCATGTAAGCTTTAAGTTTGGCTAAGTTAGCTTTACTTAACAACAATTTGAATTTGTTTTACGAGTACATTTAATTGTAGGCTAAAGAGGAAGAGGAAGAGGAAGACCTCCAAAGCAATGTACTACGGTTCCTACATCTACGTTCATAGGTGCATCAATTTCCCGAACACACCTTAAATCTACCTTCATAGGTGCATCAACTTTCGGACCACACCCTACATCGACATCCGGACCCCCTCCACTTTTAGATTTGCCTTGACCTCTTTAAGATCCGACTCGACTGTAAAAATTAATAAAAATAGAGAGAAAAGAACGAGTCAAAGGTTTTAGAGTGCACATAAATGAAAAAGCTGGTAACATATACTCAAAGACAAGTTTAGTATGTTTTCCTTAATCTTTAATAGATTTATCAATCAAATTGCATAGTATAAATTTACTTAATCTTAATGTTGATGTTACGGATGATCGTTAGAGGGAAACCTAATACTATTATAACGGGACAATCGATGACATCAAATTACAAGGAAAAATGTTCAAAATGTTACACAAACTATAAGACAAACTCGTTCAAAATGCAAAGAAGACCAAGTTCAACCAATAAAGTTCCTAAACTCGCTATGACAAACTATTTGTGAATATTTTGATCTACTAAAAAGTCAATTTTTTGGACCACTAAAGCACTATAATAGGTTGTGAATGTGTGATATTTTTTTGAAATATTGTGATAAACTATGTATTTATTGTCTATCATGTGTTTTCTTTATCGACATAGGAATATTAATGTTTTTATATGTATTTGATATGTATGTTGACTTGGCTTGCCTTTGTTGGGACTAGCATATGATTTTATTTTGGCAAGTTGGGACCATATGCATATACATAAACCTTTGTATGTTTAGGACCATAAGAGTATGGTTGGGAATATTAATTACAAAGCATTTTTTTTCCTTTCATGTGAACATTTTAGGAAGGGCATTAAAGACTCTTTGTTTCTTTATTTTTTATTCTATTTCAGTTTTACTTGTTAGAAATTCCAATTTTGTTAGAGATAAAACTTAAAGACTCGGAATGCACTATGTTGCTAGCAATTCTATTTAAATTTAATGTTGATTATTTACTTTACATTATCTATTGTTATTGTAGTTTGGACTTTGGAGTCTCTCTATCCACCTAATTTGTTGGATAATGCATGTTACATTTTGAAAAAAATTTGGTTCCTTTGTTTTATTTTAATTTTATTGGTTCAAGGTTGCGAGTTTACTTATTTACTTTGTTGTCCAACCATTCTTAGTTTAGGTCATTTACAATGTTTATCGATCTTTTCCCATGAACCTTCCTTTTCTAATGATGAAATTCATCGTTTGGCTTCATGCATGTTTCATGTAACATATGCCAAGTAGAATATTCTTTATGTTGGTTTTCTCTATCTTGGAAAAACTTGTCTTGAGCAGACTAGGTAAAGGATTATGATGAGATTTAACAAATTTTGCTTGATTATACCATTTTTTTTTATCAAGTATCAAACTAAACATATTTTTGATTGATCTTTATCAAGGCTTTACCTATTTCAGAATGAAAGAATCCTTGTACCGTAAGCTCACAACTCGATGTCACAAGTAGTCTTACTAGTATTCGAAAGCAACTATGGACTTATTCGAAACTAAACCTAGGCTATTAGGCTTCTTTCTTGCTTGTTTCAAGAAGTGATTATGTGATTTTCTATCAAATATACAATATAATCTAATTAGTTTGAAAATTTTTTGGCATGTTTACATTGGTTTCAATGCTACAATATATCAACAACCCGATCTATACCAATCTATGAATTTTTTTTATTTAAAATTATCATGTAAAGGTATACATCTAACAAATTTGAAAATAAGATAAGCAATAACAATACAAGGAATGCATAAAAAAGAGAAATATATATAAGGTACTCGCTTTAAAGGAAGCTTCGTGGAAGTTGCCTTAATGTTAGCACCACACTCCATTTAACCACTTACTTTCTTCTCTCTTTCTCCTCAACCTACCTTCATTATTTCTCTTTTTTCTCTCTTTTTTCAACCATTTTCTCCATCCGGGTCTCTCTCAATTCTTCAAATTTCACCATGAAACTCATCGAAAGCTCAATTCGAAACGTTTCTTCATCTCTAAAGAAGATCGATCCATGCTATCTAGATCGGACCCATCATTGTTTAACTTAGGTATGACCTCCTCCGCTTTTGATGGCACGTCAATCCATTAACCCAATTCTCGCTACAACCAATTTTGGTATTTAGACTCCTACTAGTGTTCTGCTATAAATATCGGGTGATCGGTCCGATATCTTGATCGATCTTTATTTAGAATTGACTCAAGCTTTCAAGTTAATTATATATTTGATAGAAAATATCGGACTCCTATTAGACGAGTGCGTACGTATGATAGTAAAGGTTGATAAGGGTGAAGATGGGTTCGTGTGTTTTGAGGACTTCGTCGTATGATAGAGCTACGGAGATGATCATGATTAAGTGTGACGATTATATCATATAATTATAAATCATGTCATGACGATTTCTCTTGAAAATGTCTTTGATTTTATTTCTTTTGTTTTTTGGTTTTTTCCTCTTTGGGTCTCATTTTCTTAACTTGGAAGTGTTTACTAGATTGTGTGGGGTTAGTTAGGGAAATGAGATTTTGAAAAGATCAAAAGAAATATGATGATTCAATTGGGCGGTTGTGATTAGTTGATCTTGTTGAGAAAATTGTACTTCCCTCAATCGTATATACGAGGAAAAAATTTCCGATAAAAAAAAATACAAAGAATGGTACATATAAATTATCTTTTGGCTTTACTTCTTGCTTAGTTTAAAGCTAATATTCTATTATGATCATTTGAAGGCAATATATATTGTCGCTCCACGACGTCGGACGGGACCCCCAAAAGAAAACTTTAAGAGTAGTTCGGGTGTTGATTAATCAAAATTATTTACGAGTTTTGGAGTCGCCACCTAGTACTTAAGGGACTAGGGACCTAAAAGCAAGACTTGGTTCGGAGATTCTTAAGGTAAGGAGTTGGTTACGCTTTTGGAAAGATATTAAATCACCTAAAAGAGCCTTTTTCGAAAAAAGGTACCATGTACGATTTAGTTCCGAATTATCCCCTAAATCCATGTCAAGCTATTTTCTGAATTTTAATCTCCTATCTTTTAGCCTAAATAATTTTTTTTAGTTTTGGGCGTGGCATCATATTGAAACGATCATCGGTCCCCTTCGTTGGGTGACACGTCGATTCAAACATCGGATCCACTAAAAAGCCTCGACGCAACCGGCGTGTGGGAGGACATCTTAAATAAAAGTGATTTTGATGACGTCGGCCCCTATCGGATAGGAGGCTTCGTCGAAATTTTAGGCATTTTTTGTATGGCGTCGGTCCCTATCAAATAGGAGACTTCGCCATTTTTTTTTCAAAAAAAAA